CCTGATAGACCTACTAAGACCATATGACAAATCTGAAGGCTGGATATGTTGAGTGAGAGATTGTAGACAAGATGACTGGCTTTTTCATTGTGATTTTGATGTCAAATGTGTCACAATAAAAGGCTTGAAAGTCAGAGTACCTCCCATGACATGCCGCAGAGTCTTTAGAACATGTTTGATCATCGAAGTAGGAATGCTCTTTTGAAGACTTTTGTACATTATAGAATATCTGCATGAAATCCAGAGTGCGTGTAAAGTCTTACAAGTTGACTATAATTGCATACTTTAAATAGAGCTGGGACTCACAAGGTATTGAACTCTTTACCTGATAATTTCTCATAATTTGCTATAGACTATTATTTGCACAAGATGAAAATATCATTAACTGGGTTAATGATAGAATTGTAATGTAGAAAGTGGTCTTAAGGGTATAATAACGATGCTTGTGCATCATTCGGTGGCTTGTCTAGTTCCAAGCCAAAAGGTAGATTGGAAAGAAAATGAAGAAAGATATTAAGAAGCATGAGAGCAACAAAAGACCAAAAGTAGATAGAAACCCTTGAGTCAAATGTTCAAACTGTGATTGAGAAGGACACTGGAGAAAGATTGTTCAGATGCACTAGCTAGAAAGCAAAGTGTGATTGATGTTTTCGTTACCAAGTGTTGTTTAGTTGTTGATTTTGAAACCACTAATCATTTACATGTTGATGCGGATACTTTGGGAAAGCAAAAAACAAAGTAAAGCCAATTTAAAATTATCGTTGGCACAAGAACATATGAGTATTCTGTTTTATTCCAATAGCGATAGGCATTTAATTCCCAAATACTGTTATTATATCTTACAAATGAAGTAGAAATATAATTTCTGTATTCGATTTAGTAAGACAACGTTATCCTATAAAATTAACATCTGATAAGCTTAGCATTTTAATGAATAAAGTTTCTATTTGCGAAGGACATTTGATTAATAGTCTTTATATTTTAAACTATTCCACATAAAATAAAAAAAAAGGTTATTCTTGTTAATCATAAAAAGTCAACTATACTAGTTATACATATCTATGGTGTCCTGAACAAATCAACATTAACAGAATACAAAAACTGACTAGAGATGATCCTCTCAACTCGGTTAAGGTCGAATCACTATCAGTTTGTCATTCTTGTTTAGAAGGCAATATGACCAAGATTTCATTTTTTTCACAAAAAGAGATAGAGCCAAATGAAATAAAAAAAAAGGTTATTCTTGTTAATCATAAAAAGTCAACTATACTAGTTATACATATCTATGGTGTCCTGAACAAATCAACATTAACAGAATACAAAAACTGACTAGAGATGATCCTCTCAACTCGGTTAAGGCCGAATCACTATCAGTTTGTCATTCTTGTTTAGAAGGCAATATGACCAAGATTTCATTTTTTTCACAAAAAGAGATAGAGCCAAAGATGTGTAGACCTATGAATACACTTGAGAGGGGGACCTATGAGTATTTCTTCACAGATGATTAATCTAAATTCAAATACATTTACCTGATGGCTTGAAACTCAAATACTTTTGAGAAATCAAAAGAGTATAAGACTAAGATCGAGAAACATTTGGGTAAAAGTATTAAGACACTTTGATCTAATCGAAGTAGCGAATGCATCTTGGGAGATTTTAGGGACAAGTTAACAGAAAATGGAATTATTTCCTAATTGAGTAAGCCTGGTATATACATTGAAAACAATTGGATATATTCCTTATTTAATTCATTCTAAGTTTGTTCACAAAACTCTCCTGAAATTTTGGAATGGATTCAAGTCATATTTGCATCATATCCAAAATTTAGGGTACCAGCTCATGTACTAAAAGAGAAGTAAAAAAAGTTGGAGTCTAAGTCAGATATATGCTTGTTTATGGGATATCCTAAAGATACCAAGGATAAATTTTTATATGGTCTTCTAGATAAAAAGGTTTTTGTTAGCACAAATGTAACCTTTCTGGAGGATAAATATATTAATGATCGTCAGTCCAACATGAAGTCGTGTTGGAAAGAATGAGTGGGAGTAATTCCACCCAATCAATTCTTAGAATATAGCTTGGGATGGACATCCCATGGTGTCAAATATACCTAGACAACATGATCTGAGTGGGAGAGATGAGTCATCATCTGATCCAATAGATTAAAAAATATTGAAGGTAATAAGGAGGTAATGCGTCACCCAATGGTAATGCCAGTATTGATGAAAATATTATGTTCCAAATGACACCACAGTCTAAGATCAATAGCCCCTTAGACAAAGTTAAATGATTATCAATTCACCTTAAAGGTACTTGTTGAGTGAAAGTCCAATCTGGCGATGTCCATGGTACGAAATGATCATCTGACCTTATATAAGCAAGCTATGGATAATGAGGATGCAATGATCTATTTATGGTTTGAAGTAGACATCGAGATCTTGAAATAAGGATTAGACAAAGTGATTAAGACATAAATTTTAATCAGAACTTAAATGAACCATATGTCCATAAGAAGATATAAGGCAAATTTTTATTTTTCTTGGTACTTATTTAGATGACATTCTACTCATAAAAAATAATGTAGGTGCGTTATCATCTATGAAAGCGTGGTTGGCCCAATGTTTTATATGGAGGGCCTAATGAAGCTAGCTATGCTATGGGTTTTAGATCTGGAGACATTGAAAGAACAAGATGATAGTTTTGTCCCAAGTCTTATATGTTAACAAGATACTTGTCAGATTTGCTATGCAAGATTATACTTTCAGATGTCGAATCCAACTCTTTAAGGATCAATCCCGTGAGACTTTTAAAGAGATTGAGTGCATGAGTAAGATACCTTATGCGTTGGTAGTAGGCAGTCTCATGTATGCCATGTTATGCAAGAGAACTGACATTTGTCATACTAATGCTATGGTAAGTCGAGATCTATTTAACTTTAGGATCAAAATACTTAATGACGGTACAACATATCTTTTAGTACTTTCGGAGAACAGAGAATTATATACTCCTCACAAATCTTGTTTTAATAGGTTAAAAGGATTTAGACTTTTAGAGTAATGAAGACTATCGTAGGTCTACATCAGTATCGTTGTTTATACTTAATGGTGGGTCCATTATTTGGAAAAGTATCAAGCAATCATGCACTGCTGATCCCATCATTGATGCCAAGTACTTGGTTGTTTGTAAAGCTACTAAATTGACTGTATGACTAAAAAAATCCTAAAGAACATCGAATTGGTGCCTACATCTGCACTATCCTTTACACTATATTGGAATAATAGTAGGATTGTAGCAAATAATAAAGAATCAGGAGTTATCAGAGAGGTAGACATATTGAATGAAAATATCATCTCTTAAGAAAGATAGTTGGTAGAGAAAATGCGATTGTCAATAAAATTACTACTAGGAAAAGCTTGTTGGCTAAGATTTTTGAAGAACGTCTGCAAGACATGATGTTGCAAGATATGACACGTATACTCTAGGACAAGTGAGAGATATGTTAGGTTATGTGTCCATATAATATATTTTGTTATGATAAAATAATAATTTATAATATAATTTGTTTACAACCAATGTATAAGAGTTAACACGTTATACTGAAAGGTTGTAGTGTTGATCGATGCATTATTCATGTTTGATTTGTCCTTATGACAGAAATAATTAAACAGAACTCGTGTCGAGTTTAAGAGTTAATACTCGATTGTGATTTGTTCACAACCAATGTATAAGAGTTAGTATTTGGGGTATATTGAACAGAACTCGCATTGAGTTTAATTCTATAGCATAACCGTACAGAGAATTAAATTCCACTTGATCGCTGTGTATTTCATTTAAATTCTTTGGTAGGATTAGGTATATCTTTCCGTGATTTTAATGGTTTTTTTATTCATCAATAGGTGAGATCAATTTGATTGATCACATATCTAGATGAGTTGAGAGCCTAAGAATAAGCGAAGTAGAGAACATGAATTCGTCTCGAGAATCGTTACCCTGAAAAATGGGTGGAGTGATTACTTAAATATTTTCTATTGAACGGTTAAAATATATAGTGTTAGCGACAGATAAATTTCGACATCTATGATTAGATCTCATGATTGTTGAGAAAAATTTGTACTTAAGTTAATGTAATTAGAGTGGCAAAACGGTCATTTATGCTCATACATAATTATTGAATCTCAGACGGAGATAAAATACATATACAGTATGTCAAATGAAAGTATTATAAATTTATTGGTTTATGTGATCTTATATATTCCGAGAGTTCAGTCTTTTGCTTTTAGTGAAAAAACAAAGAGTAATAATTAGATTTGGTAGTTTATGGTCGACTATATAGGACCTAATTATTGGAGCTTGAATAATATGTATATGATCAAGTCCCTGTGGTAACTATATAAAGTATTGAAACATAATTACGGTAATTGCAATAATTTTTGTAATGGCCAAAATTTTTAAAATCAAATTGCTACCGAAAGATTTGAAAAAATAAAATTAAAATTAAACAACGTGGCATTAAATTATATATAGAATTATGTAGACAAAAAAATGGACAATTAATAATTCTCATATAAATATTTCAATGTAGGTAACAAGAAGAATTTCGTTTCCAATTATTTGCACCTCATAGACATGTTTTGATGAATCTAGAAGAAAAATATATAAGCCATTCAATATCATTGCAAGGAAAATGAACAAAATGTTAATTAACTAATTGTCCTTGCTCTTTACAAAATAATAATAAGGCATATTTTTTATTCTCTTTCTTCGGTAAGTAGGACACAGCCTCAAGCTTCACATAATTTAATATAATTATAGTCGATTGTATTAATTAGACACGCATGGAAACCGTAAATCAATTTACCTAAGTTGCTCTACGGTTCAATCTCCAATTTATCGTCCGAAAACTTAAATAGTAATGAAAACTCTACATACTTTCAAGTTAGAATTTGTCGAGTCACCGTACGAAATTACATATCCAAATTTTTTTTGTCCCAAATTTCAAATAAAAGGAAAGAGTTAAATGAATTGATAAGACTAAGGTTACCGCCAGAGTTTAAAGTTTTCAGGCACGTTACATTGAATTTGCTTTGTTAAATCCAATGAATCCAAGCACAATGACTGCACATCATCGCTCGCCAACTAGGAACTTGTTCCAACCTTGTGAGGAATGAAGGAAAATGGTGAATATATGGAAATATTCAATAGGACATGAAAATAATGGTACAATCTCGAATAAAAATATTTAATCATGCGTCAAAAATCATACCATTATAATATCTTTAGGGATAGGTAAAAGCTTAATACATATCATGTTTAAAAATAATTTAAATGGGATAAAAACAACCACACCTCAATATCCTACTTCGCTTGATCAATTAAATTTTGAAAGAAGGAGAAAGCACATTTCCAATATTTTCTGCCTCCTACTGCAGTCGTGTGCGTATGTATATTCTAATGTGAGGATAAAGAAATAAGTTCATGGTATTAAAGTTAAAAAGGACAATTGAATTTTTGGTAGAATAGAATTACATATAACCGTGTGCCAAGGTCACTATCAAAAATATTCTATTTCATCATTATCCCATTCAATAAAAAAACAAACAAACAAAACCAGACTATCTCTATCTAATTCTACACATGGCTCCTACCCAATAATTAATTTATCAACACCAATTAATAACTTCTTTAAACTTCAATAACTTATGCTTCACCTATTCGAATTAATTTTTTCTCAAATCCAAGATAAATAATTAAATACGAGTCCAATATGGATATACTTTTCATCTCTTTATAAATATCTAAATATTTGACCCAAAAGTTGAATTTAATTATATTTCACTTTAGTCCCCCAAATTTTGAAAATAATAAAAATACGCATATATAACAAGAAATTCTAGTCTATAATTTTTATTTTTTTTATTGGTTTTACAATTTTGGACTTAATTATAATTACAATAAATTTTGGAGAATATACCATAGAAGACTATGAAATTTAAAACATCAAATTCTTGCAATTATAAGTTGAAAGTTCGTGATTTAGAATTAATTCAAGAATTAACCATCAAATTTAGGTAAAAATTCGAATAATTTATTTTTGATATAACATATATTTGAACATCTAGACGATATTATTTATTGAGGTTAAATAAATTTTTTATTTCTAGATAATTCTGCTTTCTCATTCATCATGCTCATCATTGGAAATTCTACTTTCAAAAATTGGCATGTACTTGATGACAATTTGAGAACCCTTTGATAATATTTAAAAGTAGGCCCAAAGGCACATCTATGGGTGGGCTTAGCAAATATTAAAGGCAGGGAAGGTTTAGCATATGGGTGGGTTTATGCACTACGTGAATACAGGCACACGGAAAACTTGATTTGATTTTCCTATTCACATGTCTTTATGTAGGTGTGTTATTGTCTATGAAAGTGTGGCTGGCCCAATGTTTTATATGGAGGGTTAAATGAAGCTAGCTATGCTATGGGTTTCAGATCTTGAGACATTGAAAGAACAAGGTGATAGTTTTGTCCCAAATCTTATATGTTAACAAGATACTTGTCAGATTTGCTATGCAAGATTATACTCTCAGACATCGAATCCAACTCCTTAAGGATCAATCCTCTAAGCTCTTTAAAGAGATTGAGTGCATGAGTAAGATACCTTATGCTTTAGTAGTAGGTAGTCTGATGTATGATATGTTATGCAAGAGAACTGACATTTGTCATACTAATGCTATGGTAAGTCGAGATCTATTTAACTTTAGGATCAAAATATTGAATGACGGTAAAGCATATCTTTTAGTACTTTCGAAAAACAAAGAATTATATATTCCTCACCAAATCTTGTTTTAATAGGTTAAAAGGATTTAGACTTTCACAGTAATAAGGACTATCGTAGGTCTACATCAGCATCGTTGTTTATACTTAATGGTTGGTCCATTATTTGGAAAAGTATAAAACAATCATGCATTGTTGATTTCATCATTGATGCCAAGTACTTGGTAGTTTGTAAAGCTACTAAATTGACTGTATGACTTAAAAAATCCTAACGAACATCGAGTTGGTACCTACATCTGCACTATCCTCTACACTATATTGGAATAATAGTAGGATTGTAGCAAATGCTAAAGAACCAGGAGTTATCAGAGAGGTATACACATTGAATGAAAATATCATCTCTTAAGAAATATAGTTGGTAGAGAAAATGCGATTGTCAATAAAATTACTACTAGGAAAAGCTTATTGGCTAAGGTTTTCGAAGAACATCTGCAAGACATGATGTTGCAAGATATGACATGTATACTCTAGGACAAGTGAGAGATATGTTAGGTTATGTGTCCATATAATATATTTTGCTATGATAAAATAATAATTTATAATATAATTTGTTAACAACCAATGTATAAGAGTTAACACGTTATACTGAAAGGTTGTAATATTGATTGATTCATTATTCATGTTTGATTTGTCATTATCACAGAAATAATTAAACAGAACTTGTGTCGAGTTTAAGAGTTAATACTTGGGGTGTAATAAGTTTAAGAGTTAATACTTGGTTGTGATTTGTTCACAATCAATGTATAAGAGTCAATACTTAGGGTATATTGAACGGAACTCGCATCGAGTTTAATTCTATAGCATAATCGTATAGAGAATTAAATTTCACTTGATCACAGTGTATTTCATTTAAATCTTTGGTAGGATTATATATATGATTTTTTGATTCATCAATGAGTGAGATCGATTTGATTGATCACATATCTCGATGAGTTGAGAGCCTGAGAATAAGCGGAGTAGAGAACATGAATTCGTCTCGAGAATCATCACCCTGAAAAATGGGTAGAATGACTATTTAAGTATTTTCTATTGAACGGTTAAATCTGAGTACAGTGTTAGCGGCAGATAAATTTCGACATCTATGATTAGTTTACATGATTGTTGAGAAAAATTTGTACTTAAGTTAATATAATTAGAATGGCAAAACAGTCATTTATGCTTATACATAATTATCGAATCTCAGACGGAGATAAAATACATATACAATAGGTCAAATGAAAGTATTACAAATTTACTGGTTTATATGATCTTATATATTCCGAGAGTTCAGTCTTTTGCTTTTAGAGTGTGTTTGATTGACATGGAAAATATCACCTAGAAAAGAAAATATTTTCCATCTTTTGTGGAAAATAAAAACCACCTCTACCCAAGGATAATGTTTTCCTTAAAAACAAGGAAAATTAGGCATATTTTCAAAAGTTGGAAAATATTTTCCATGGAAAAAATAGCAATCAAACACTCTAAGTAGGAATTTGGATGGAAAACTGATATTTTCTTTGAAAAATTAATGTAATCAAACACACCCTTAGTGAAAAAACAAAGAGTAATAATGAAATTGGGTAGTTTATGGTCGACTAGATAGGATCTAATTGTTGGAGCTTGAATAATATATGTGTGATCAAGTCCTGTGGTAACTATATAAAGTATTGGAACATAATTACGGTAATTGCAATAATTTTTGTAATGGCCAAAATTTTTAAAATCAAATTGCTACCGAAAGATTTGAAAAAATAAAATTAAAATTAAACAACGTGGCATTAAATTATATATAGATGGACGATTAATATTTCTCATATAAATATTTCAATGTAGGTAACAAGAAGAATTTCTTTTCCAATTATTTGCACCTCATAGACATGTTTTGATGAATCTAGAAGAAAAATATATAAGCCATTCAATATCATTGCAAGGAATATGAACAAAATGTTAATTAACTAATTGTCCTTGCTCTTTACAAAATAATAATAAGGCATATTTTTTATTCTCTTTCTTCGGTAAGTAGGACACAGCCTCAAGCTTCACATAATTTAATATAATTATAGTCGATTGTATTAATTAGACACGCATGGAAACCGTAAATCAATTTACCAAAGTTGCTCTATGGTTCAATCTCCAATTTATCGTCTGAAAACTTAAATAGTAATGAAAACTCAACATACTTGAAACAAGTTAGAATTTGTCAAGTCACCGTACGAAATCACGTATCCAAACAAATTTTGTCCCAAATTTCAAATAGAAGGAAAGAGTTAAATGAATTAATGAGACTAAGGTTACGGCCAGTGTTTAAAGTTTTCAGGCACGTTACATCGAATTTGCTTTATTAAGTCCAATGAATCCAAGCACAATGACTACACATCATCGTTCGCCAATTAACAACTCGTTCCAACCTGTGCGGAATAGAGGAAAATGGTGAATATATGAAAATATTTAGGGTTGGCAACGGTTCGATTATGGGTCGGTTCGACCAAAATCATAACCGCACCACCAATTTTTTGATCATATCATAACCGCACCATAATCACGTAAATTGTTTCAATTTGGTTTGGTTCGTATCTCGGTTCGGCATAGTTCGGTTCGATTAGTAACCATGAAAATAAATTTTTTCTATAAGATCATCCGTCAAATTGATATAAAACAATTTATGAAAAAAGTCAATGAAAATAAAAGCATAATATTTCAAACGAAAATGCAAACATTATCATACAATATTCCAAACGAAAATGCAAACATTATTCCAATTTTCAATTGCAAAATACAAATTTAACAAACAATATTATAAATATAATAATACTAAATTTTTCCTTCATTCTTAATTGTTGTGCATCGAAGTTACTTGATTCATTTTTCATTCTTACTAGCATAGATCAGCACTCAAAATTGATTTCTATATAGTAAATAAAAAATATAAGTAAAGAATACAACGATACTACCTATTCCAGAATGGTCTTAATTAAGATTTAAATATAAAAAAATGTACATCTTCATCAACTTCCTTCTTACTTAACATTGCATAAATTCTAGAGTATAATGAAGAAGTAGAATTTTCTACACACAATAAAAAAAAATTAACAATAGAAGAAAGTGTATAAATAACAAATATAAAACAATAAATCCTACCATGAATATCAATCCAAAACCAATCCCGAGCACACATGAAAGCTTCTAGAGTCTTCGGGTGAAGCCTATTTCTCCATGGACTCACAAATCTACCACTTGTACTAAACACCGACTCGGATGTCACAGTAGATACTGGAATGGCTAATAAATATCTTGCAACCTTCCGTAAAGTCGGATATTTTATTAAATTTACATTTCACCATGTCAATAAATTAAAACCATCCATCATTGGCAATATTGGCTCGTCTAGAAAAATATCGAACTCTATTTTTACATGATCAACAGTAATAGAATGGCTAACAAATGTAGCAAATCTTCGGAGGCGACGACGACTTGGACCGTGGAGGCAGTGGAGCTGTGTGTGAGTTTGTGGTTTGTGGAGAGCAGGGTTTTCATTTATCTATTGTCATACTAATGCTATTATTATGGGCTAATGATAAGTGGGCTGACCAGCTAAGTCAAGTAGATGTAATGGGGGGATT